GTGTTCTTCGTTTGAAGAATCGGAAAGTTTCCGTTCGATTCTGGAGCAATTGAATCTTTGAGGAATCTTTTGCTGGTAGTTTCTGTTACCGATGATCGACTTTGAAGATCGTTTATGGAGGACATGGTGTTCTTCATTTGAAGAATCGGAAAGTTTCCGTTCGATTCTGGAGCAATTGAATCTTTTAGGAATTTTTAGCTGGTAGTTTCGGTTACCGATGATCGACTTAGGAGATCGTTTATGGAATAAGGACTCACTGTTTTGAATTTGAGTATTTCAACGTATTCCGTTCGCCATGGATCGATCTTTAAATTGTTGTGCAATTCGCAGCTATTGGCTTCAACGTCAGTTAACTTCGATTACCGAAGATTGATAGCGACGTAAACTGTTTGTGCAACAAACATTCGAAGGTCTAAGGGGAACACTTTAAAAGTTCCGATAATTGAGCTGCCATTTCTCGGACGCATGATTTCGTAAAAGCGAAATTCAGTAGTCATAAATGTCGAGGAAACTTGCAATAAATTTCTCGAAGAAGTCTATAAGAGAACTCTCGTAGAATAAGTAAACGAAGTCTTCGAGTTTACCGAGAATTTACCGAAACTTCCGGAAGACTTCGATGATTAGACTGCCAGTGCTCAGATACAATTTTTTCGGAGAAACTCCGACGAGGAGCTTCGAACGTCGGAGAGAAGTTTGAAAGAGAAACTTCAGTAGAATAGCACGATGTTTGCGCGTCGGAGGTACATCGGGATGTCGGAGGGATAACGATAAATAGCCCCCAGGTTCCGTGATTTGCAGAAAATTAATCAAGTACACCAGACGTCGAGGAACACGAAGACTTTTATCGTACTTCCAGCGATGATTTACCAAAGGGAAACCAGAACTGATCAATCTCTACGTAAATTTCGATGAGCATTCCTATCGAATACTCAACACGCTTCAGAAACTCGCAGAATTCGAATCGAGCCGATACGAAACGAGGGAATTCGAGAATCATTCGATTGATTATCCATGCAGCTCGCAGCGAAGTAACGTTCTCGTGAAGAACGAGTTCCCTGAATATGCAAGCTTCGCTCCGACCGGCGGCCCTTGAAACTTTTCCCGTCCTCGCGACCGGTTCCTGTTTCGTCGAATCATTATCCGCGAGGGGCCGGCAGAAATAATGAATTTCCGATCCAATTACCGAGACGGCGCAGTCTCTTATTCGAAGTGGGCCTCTCGGCCGCCCTCCGTTATTGCCCGCGGAACTTTTACACACGATTTCGCGGACTGTCCTGGCGAACTTCTCGCAGTTTCCAATGAAAAATCCGAACGCTCATCCAACGTCTGATTTGGTTATACATTAAGCTCGGGGTAGTCAATATTGCCGATACTGATAATTCTAACATTAAGTCTGCGAAGCAATAATGTGACGTGCATTGAATTTTATAAATATTATCTGGTAAACTTGTATATATCCTAAATCTTTATTTTTAGACCTTTAACCTGTAAGATCTACATGAACGAATATCGATCTTCCTTGGAACAATAGAATAAACTATATGTAAATCTAGTGTTAGATACATGTAAATGTAACAAGAACTTGAGCTTCACTTTAACAAAAGAATTGAATGAATCTATTATAAACTCCACATCGATAATTATTGCAAAACCATAGCGAAGTTGCAAGTTCAATTTGAATTCCTTTAAAACGTCTAGAAATATATACTTTTAAATATAACAACGAATTCCCAATGATTGGTAAATTCATACAGATGTGGTTCAACAATCCTGAACTTATCTTACATATTACAATCCCGGATTTGTCCTTTTGTGGTAACTGCGCGAAGTCCGTGAATGAGTTTCAAGGAGCGACCCTCAACTTCGAATGGCTCTGACCCATTTAAGAATGGAGTTAGTCGAGGAATATCCGAACGCGACGTTTCCTACGGTGCGGATGTCCGTCCTAAACGAAGAATTCCGAAGTTTCGCAAGACTCGATCGAACGGGAACTGTTTATTCCGCGACAGCCGGGACTCGAGAAAAGCCGTCCAGATAAAAACTTTCGAGATCTCTCGGTAAGTGAATTAGATTCGGGCTGCATGCTTTATTTACCGTCTTTCTCGCGAACCGTGCTCGGAAACTCGATTTCCGCGAGATTCATTTTTCTTGACGTGCCCCCGCGTGTTTCCCGATGATTTTCTGAACGCCCGGAACTGCCGGCGAATCGACTATACACTTAAGATATTGGACGCAACTTTGTTTCGGTGAATCTGCAACGGTCCGCTTCGATTCCCCTTCGAACGAACGAAACTCGAATGAATTTCGAAGGAGCTTTCAGATGATTAAATTTTTTCCGGGCCGTACGCCGTTGTTTCCTGCGATTGGATTTGAGTTTTCCAAGAATCGCGGAGTTCCACTGAAATGTTATCGCTAAGTGTCGTACGGATGACTGATGAAACGAAGAGAACCTTCGAACACCCTACAGCGAGATCGAATATGAATTTGTAACCGGTGTCAATTATCTTTAGAATCACTGATCGAATCGAATGAATCTTCGGGCGGTCCGATATTCGTAATTAAATTCGAAGCAAGAGAATCGAAATCCTTATGAAATCAATTACTTACGAACGGTATGAAAAGATTACTTAAACCAATCATCCCTCGACTGAATCAAAAGAATCTTCCAAGAACTCAATATTCCTGGTTCAATTAAGAACAGGATAATGAAAACTCCGATGAATCTGGTTATCCGATAGTTCCCCGAAAGCATTACTAAATTTTCAATGTACCCGATATCTCTATGAAATCCAGGACGGAATCAGAGCTGCCGAAGTTCTAAACACACTAGGAATATTTCGAAGCGGAGAATCGTGGTCTTGGGAGAGAGAGAGAGAGAGAGGATCGAAGAGAACCTCGTTCCCACGATTGCAGGTGGACAGGTCCGAGTCAACGGCAGGCGGATCGCCTAAATCAGAGGATCGTCTAAATCGAGCTCGATCATCATCAGCCGGACAATGGACGAGAATGACGTCGCCAGCAACAGCCGATGCTATTGGGTTAACCGGTGCCGTAGGAGCTTGATGAAGTGCACTTGGCTGTGCTTGACGCAAAGACGCTGAATATGCAAGCTCACCGGATGCCGGCTGTCGGCACGATGTATTACTGCGGATCTTATCCAGACCGTTGTCATCCATATTGAAACCTATTTGCATTTCAAACACCGTTACACACCGAACTCTCTCTCTCTCTCTCGCTCTTTCTCTGTTTGCTCTTTTTCCTTAGCACCGGATCTTCCTGTTTTCCTTTCAACTCGCATAAACCACCGGCTATCGGATCCGCGTTTCCTTGTTCCTCGTCCGCGTCGAGAAGGAACTCGCAATTGATTTTATTCCATTCGTTTCGTCCCTCGATAAGGCACACATGAAACGCTCCGGGAATTTATGTTCGGAGATCGGTCCAAATGAAATTCCCTGCAGGGCGACTGGGGATAACCGGGAATGAAGTAAAATATGAGCTGAAGTAGGAAACCTGCGATTTCTCGTGTTGCCATTCACGAGAACGAATGAAATTGAAGGATTCTCGTATGAAGTTCATAGTCTTCCCGGAGATTATCCGATGGAAATATAGAATTTATTGACCCGAACAATTGAAATCCTCCAGCTTGTCATTCGGGATCAAGAACCGTTGAGGTAACCTCGAGTTTCTTCGTAATTCAACAAAAACGCGACGAACGCTTGAGGAAACACGATCCGGTGAGCAACCTCCTTTCGTCGGCCACCGACAAAGGGAACAACGACAAATCGTCTAGACTCTAGAGCGATTGTCCACGAGAGTAGGATCCGTATCAAACATCGAATCCCGATTATTCTCCCAGAAGAATCCCCCGTCGCGGTCCGAGGGATGATCGCGTATGAGAAACGTCCGTATGAATCAAAGGACAGCGGCCATTGTCCTCGGCTGCAGAGAAAGGAGTTCGAATTTCAGGTGCTCGGCCCCTTTCATCGGGACATGAAAAACTCGTCCGCGAAAAACCTTCTTCATCTTATTACCGGACGGCGTTAGCTCGAGCAATCCCGGTTGCTCCCTTTCAACAAGCTACCCCCTACCGTTTCCATAATTTACAGATCCGACTGCCTCTCTACCATCCGTAGTCCACGTAGAACCGTAATCCCGCCGGCAATGAAAGAAAAGGCAAGACGTAAAAAAGAAAAGTGGCAGGCGGAGAAAAAACACGAGAGTAAAACGAAGGGGAAACAAGACGGCAATTCCTGCCGCGTTTCCAGACGAGGAGAACCGGTTCGACAATGGCGCCGAGCTTTTCCGCGCGTTTATTACGCGCTCGGGAGCGCTACGTTGCACGCCGCGAGCAAACGGGGATGAACGTTGCCATCGCGCTGTAAAAGAGAGCGTATAAACGCCGATGGAACGCGCCGCTCGCGTGATTCCTCGATTCTCGTTTGTGCCTCTAGTTTCTCGTTGTTCCCAGGAAAAGGATCCTGCGTTATCGGTAATCGAGAAGGATTCATCGCGGCGCGCTCCATCGACGACATGATTACGGCGCCGCGGCGTCCGCGCTGCCAGGATGCGTCTTCCCGCGAACTTTTCCAATAAACGAGACACGTCCGACGAAAAAAAGGAAGCGGAGAATCGGGTCACGTCACGTGGTGGCTAGGGGACGATCACGAGGAACAGAGTGGACGAGCACTGGAGAAGATCAACGGAGTTCGTGACGCGGAGAAAGTTGCCGCTTCGGTGGAGGAAAGGAAAATCTTCGGTTATTTGCTCGCGGTAACCGGCGAATCGATGAGAAAGTTTCATTCGAAAGTTCGATGGGATGTCCACTGGTGAACGAGGATAAGAATAGGGGTGGATGCGGGGGTTGAAACGAAATCGCGAGCAGAGTTCATCGTGGCAGCGTGGACTTCGCGCGGCGCGCATCTGTGGCTTAAGTCTAAACAGTATTGTTCGGGGGTGGGTTGACAGGGGTGGCTCGCAGCCTAAGGGCGACGTGAGCTTACCTTGCTTCCCCTTTCGTTAAATATGATTTCCACGTCGAGGATTGGCCCGAATTGCTGGAAAACAGAAAGCCGATTAAACGCGGTCGCTGGACGGCCGGTCCGCGGGAATTCTGTCCCGCGGATTGGGGTGGTATCGTCCGGGGGTTGGGAATTAGTCGGCGTGTGACGTTTCGAGCTTCCGAACGTGTTATAATTAGAACGCGGTAGACACGACCAGGATGAATTGAAATTTCTAATTAACGCTTCGGTTATCGCGTCGGCCGGCTAACGAAATTCTGTCCGTTGATCGACGGCAACTCGATTTTTCTGGAAAGCGACGAATGCAATTCTTCGCTTGACAAATGACGTTAACGAATTATTAGTCATTATTGCTTCTCGATTTATTCGCATACTTAGGATACTACTGAAAAAATAAAAGCAGACTAGTAACAAGTTTTTTATATATTCTCAAACTATCCTATGTAATGTCAAGACTAATTAATGATAGATCAATAAAAGGGTCGAACAAAATTCAACGGACGACCGATTCGCTCGAACGATAGTATTTTTCTACGACGAACAATGTGAACGCGATCGAGCGTAAGAACCAGTTGTGAGGAGAATTCGATAAAGGAACTAGCACGAACAGGGTACAAAGGATCGTTTCGTAAGCGAACAAAAGGGACACTCACCCCAAACATTGCCCTGAGATCAGGGTCTCGGAAGCGGAAAGGTATATTGCTGACATGAAGGCGTTTCGGTTGTCCTTTCAGGTCTGTGCCCTGTGTCGCGGTTGCAGGTGTCGTCGCACCTGAGGTGACAGGTACCAGGGTGCTGCCTTCGACAGCGCCTTCGGGGCTGGTCTCGTTGCCGGCGGGCGTCGGGGCCGGTTGCTGGCCGCCCCCGCCTGCGGCTGCAGCCGCCGCGGCCGCAACTGCTGCCTGAAACACCTCCGACTGTCGTCGGAAAACGAAAAACACCGTTTCAATGTCAATTTCGAATTCCAGCCACGCAATTCGTGCACACGAGATCGGCGTCCAATGAATCTGAAATAATAAATTTCACGAAATCTGCGGTTTCTTATCCGCCATCGGAAGGTTTTCTTTTCCTTAAAACGGTTAACAGGCTTTAGCATCTACGAAGATACCGCGAATACGAAAGACCTTCGAGTGACCCTGACATTTCCCCTTGACATCGTAATTTATTTTATCATGCTGCCTGAACTTTTCTTCGGCGACTCTACCGCGATGCGTTCCGTTGGCAGAGCGTTCCGAGTCACTTTCCTCGGCGGTGTTCAGAAGAATTCCGATATTCTGTTAGGCGAACGGAGGTATTAATTTTTAGTTATTATTCTACAACCGCTCGGTCATTCCTCTAATCACCGGGAAAGATCGCTCGCGATCAGCCGGCAGGGGTTTGCACACGAACGCAGCGGATGCGATCGTTACAGGCTACCCTTAAAGGGCTTCCACCTTTAATCTATCGACCTACTGCAGCGGTAATCTTTTGAGACTCGGTTAAGCATGAAATGTCTAGGTAGCGTCCGTGAAGTTTACACGGATTACGCGATTGCATCTGGTATTCTTTATAGATGAAACTTCACGCTTGTGTTGCCTGATCCGATACCCTCGCGAACGACGTCACTTGGGAACCGGGGAACCCAATTTCTAAACAGAAACGCCGGATAAAAAGATCAAGAAAATATAAACGTCCCTTCGTAAATAATACAAAACTCCGAATAAAACCATAATACTAATAAAAATCCTCGCCTGTATCGATTCTATCTGATACTTCCATCTTAATTTACAAGAAAAACTCATATAAAATCGAAGAAACCGAGTAGTTCCCGAACGAATACCAAAATCTCCTTTCAGAAGCCTAGAGAAACCTTCGCATCCCCAAAGTCTCCAACGAAAATCACTTCGACATACTCGCAAACGTATTTTTCCTATTATTTACGAATCTAATTTCCCTCGGCAAAGTAAATCCACCGATCAAAGATGCGACGCGAGATCGAGCACGTTGCAAACGCAGTGCGGTTGCGTATTCGCCCGGAACTCCTAAGTAGCGGCGCCCGTAAATGGTCAGCCGTGCGTCGGGCCTTATCTCGGCCACGCCACTGACGAGGCTAAGTGAACACAGTCGCGTATAGTCGGACGCAGCTGTCGCTACGCGGAATTTCTGGCCGTGCTACTTGCCACGGTGTCCGACCAGCCCGTGGGAAGTTTACCGGTGCCGCCATCGGAACTAAAGCAATTTGAGTCGCGCTATTAATAAACACTTAGCCGAAGAAGATATCCGAACTTCCAGTAGCACGGTCTGCGAACAATCTCGCGGCCGACACCGAGCAGACTGCGATTAATTCCTGGTGGGCTCAAGGACTTAACGCGGCTCAATTTCCATGCAGGTCGAACGATACGTCCCTTCCATTAACGAAAGACCAACACGGACGGCGTCGTCCGCCGACGATCCTACGGGAATATTGGAATCCCGGCAAACCGCGATATATTACGGCTCGTGGCTTCGATGGCCTGCGATATTAAGGTTCTTACTTGATGTAGCGTGTATACGGGGCTTTGGTTCACCGAACGATCTAACCGGTTAACCGTGGAATTTAGTACTAAAGGTCTCTCGCGAGGTGCGAGGTAATATTGAGCAATGATTAAAATAGACGAGGGCAAATGAAGAAGGATCACGTTTATTGGAAGAATGAACATAACTCTTGGATAAATTATTATTTAGAGATTTACGATGAAGGGTGTATTCGTGGAACAGTTTAAATAAAATTCTGCTTTATATTTCTTCATCTTGATGTGTTTGATTTACTTTCATAGCTTGCATGTTGTTTCTATATGTATAACGGGGGAGTTCGGTTAAAGATGCAGAATGATTATCAGGACTCGCGTCAACCCCTTTCGACTTCGTAAGATACGTCCAACAGTGAAAAATAAAAGCAAGCAAAAGCATTCCAAAGTATTCGAATCGAGCTGCAAGGAATTAGAACCATAAAAGACCTTGAAACATTCGAAATCGAGGTACCGACGTTCCAAAGGACGCGAGACGAGAAACGCGCGTCGCGGAAGTTCCTCCGTGTTTAATGAAAATTCTCGTCGCGGCGTTCGGCTGAAACTCCGTCCCCCGTCTGGCGTGAAATTATGCGCGAATATCGTTCGCGAGTTTCAGCGCCGGCCCCGAATCCGAGGCGGAATTCATTTCTCGATCCGTCGATGCGTCGGCCGGGGGATGAAATTCAGATGCGGCGGCCGAGCTCCGGCTGCATCGGTGTTCTCCCCGCGGGCTCGACGGCGGATGGCTCACGAATTATTCATCGGGCACCGAGGTCCGCCGTCTGCCTCGGTCGATACACACCGGAAGGGATCGAGAGTCGATACGCGCGCGAACCTCGTTTCGCACGGCGGATTAAAACTCTTTCCTCGAGCCGGCAAGACAAAGGTGACGAGAGAAAGAGAGAGACACAGAGAAGAAGCGAGAGGGAGAACCTAACCTGACGCACGGGGGTTGAACCCACCCCCCCCGTCCGTCAGTGTGCTCATCTTCTAACGATCTTCCGCTGGAAACGACAGCGTCACTGAAATTTTTTGCGCGGCCGACCCCCTCTTTAACCCTCGACACACTCTACAACCCTCGACGGAGATGTTCAAACAGGATGAAAAATTTCAGAGACGGCGGAACCGGCTGCTGGCGAGGCTGATTAAAATTTCTGCTCGGGGGGCGTTCGATAATTGCGTTGTTTGGCGTTGTTGCCGAAGATCGCGCGGAATAGCGATGAGCGATGGATTCTTTGGGAAACGGTAGCGAACGAGGCTTCGTTTCCTTACTTTCGGTATTACGAGTCAATTCTAACCGGTGACGAGTACTTTGTTTCGTGCAAATGAAGACGAAGTTTATTAGAAATGAAACGCGAATGAATGATTGGAAGTGACAGCTTTGGCCTTTCTTTGAAGTTTGCTACGAGAGATAAGTAGGTAATCCAAATGTCTTCCGCGATGATGGTTAAATAACGTGTATTCCAGTCATTTGAAAACACTTCGAAATCAGCGGAGAAAAGGAAACCGAGCGATTAATGGAATAATCAAATCTTTTTACGTTTTAGACGCGTTTCCACCGATTCGCCGGAATTTAATGCGCTCATCGTCGATTCCGCGCTCTCCAATCGGAAATATTCGAACAAAGTGATTCCGACTGGTTGCATACGATTACATTTTAATTATTCCGCTGCGCTGAGCCGACCCAGCCGGCTCGAAGGGCCATTGAAAAAAGCCGCGGTGACGATAAAGGGTGGGTGCGCGAAATTCGACGGCGGTTCCCGGTGACGCGCAATTTCGGCGGAAACGAGGCCGATCGCGACGCGTTTAATCGAACGGAATTGCGAGGATCCCCGTTCCTTCCCCCCGCGGCGCGACATTTTTCATCGATTCCCGGCCGCCATCGTCTGCGCGGAACAATTTCTCGACGCCAATTAGAGGGAATTATTTCGACTTGGCGGAACCCGCTGCAATACAGCGGAATTCACGGAATTCGCTCGGAATTCATCGATCCAAGATAAACAATCGCCGATCCGGGATCTTGTGCCAGCAATAACCGGAGCGCTCGAAGTTCACTCGAGCCGGAAGCCTCAAGAATCGAATCGTCGAAAGCTTCCGCGATGGTCTTGGAAGCGCTTATCTCTTCCGTTTGCGTTCGCGTCCATTGGTGCCGCGTCGTTAACGTTTATTTATGTTTCCGGACGGTTTCGCGCCTTTGAACTATCGCGGAAGTGAAAGTTGAATCGCGACCGCGATTCGGGTGCAATTGTTGCGTTCGATGGGAAGCCATTGTAATGGTTCACCGGGATTCGTTCTAATCCCTCGTGTTTCAATTGTATCGTAGACACATCACATACCGGCTAATTATCAGAAAATTGAATTATTCGGATTTTTAATGAGATCCACTTATACCACTATCTATAAAAAAAACTAAAGTATCATATTGCAATGCAATATATTTTAAACGGACAATTAGTTCTAATCAAATTTAATATTTCTTTAAATGCTGTCGTAAATATCAAAGTTATATAGCTAAGAGTCTTCGCATAAAAACGAGATTTCTCGTTACCAGTGCGCAATGAGTTAACGAATATAGATTGGAAAATTATCAAAGGTGATTTATTATCTCTCGTAGGTTGAAGATTATAAAAGATAATTTATAATTTGTAATGTGATTTTACTGAGTTATTGATTGAAGATTGTAAAGGACAATCTATAATGGCACCGTGACACCTGACTCATCGTTAGTACATAATTTTGCTAACTTGTGGAGCTCGATAGTAGCACGATGCATCAACTGGTAAATACCGGTGTACCGTAAGAAACGACGGGAAGCGAGACAAAGAGGGCGAGACGTTCCCTCGGAAGGGCAATATCTCAAGGACCCGTGAAAGCGAGGGTGGCGGAACTGCGGGAAAACGATGACGCTGTCTGGACGCGGTGTCCTTCGTCAACGTCACTGGTACTGTCGGGTCTCTACTAGACGAGGGACTTTCTCGGGGGAAAGTAACCATTCTGCGAGGGTAGGGGTTGGCGTGTATAGGGTCGATACCGAGGAAAGATATCCGAAAGTCTCTGGAACCGAAATATTATCGTTGTCACTTATACTTTAATCATAACTTTTCATTATTTCTGTGTTACTTCCTCTGCACTACATCTCTTACCACCTCTATCTAGGTGGCACAGTCATTTTCCGTAGGAAATTTCAAACGGTAGCGTTAAATAGTTTTGAATACTACTTGCATTGAAAAACTACACATCGTTCTATTAAAATGCAACCTTATACGCGACGAATCTTCAAAATTCGACGTCCCAATTGAATTCGCTGGTAGTGGGTTTGAAAGTGGCCCACGCGAAGGGAGGGCGGTGGCGAAGAGGAAAATTAGCGGCGAATAGCAAATCGATATCGG